CTTCTTGTCTTGTGACCTGTGGCAGTGACATTTCCCAGGTGGAACCAATGGCAGGTGATTAGAGAGCAATCAATTTCGCAGAGTTTGATTGGTTTTCGTAGAGAATATCACAGAACAAATAGCTGCAGCAAAGCAGAAGTTGTCAGTTCTTAGCATTTCTGGAAGTCACGTGTAACAGAATGATGAGTAAAGGAAGAAAGAAAAGTGCTGCGGTTTACTTAGCTGCAGCCATTCTTTTGATGTGTTGTTTGGTGCAAACAATAGACTGTTATCGACTGAAGAAAACAGGAAGACGAGAAGGGCGAAAAGAAGCTGACTCATCCAAAACGATAGGTGTCCAAGAGGGGAAAGTTGTGTTCGGGAGAGTCTTCAAGAAAGGCTCAGGCCTCGAGTCACAAGTCATTGACGGAACCAAGAAGCCGTCCTCAAACTCTTCTACGGAGGATGCAGCTGCTTATCAAGCGGACTTTACAGGTAAACATCTTTGAGATCCTTACTGTATTGAATGAAAGTTTGGTTCGGTTACATTTCTATTTGTTGACTGAACTGCAAAACGTTTTAAAGTACTCGGTTTACAGTTCTTGCGAACTTCAAGAAAGATGTAATCTCATTCAGGCTGGTCAGAAGGTCAAGTGCAGGATGCCAGTTCCAGAGAAGCAGCCTGGAGGCTCATGTCTCCCTCTCTGCAGTGTGGTGGGGACAAGATGAAGTTCAGCGCAGTGGGACCAGGAGTCTCGCAGTTTACAGTGGAACAAGGTAAAGTGATCAGATTAAGTCACTATAATATCTGTTTAAACACTACAATTGGGCTTTATTGCTGATTGCAAAAAACCCTTTGTTCCCCACAGAAAACACATCTCCAATGCCTCTGTCCCAAGTCCCTTACTCATGTGGCTACAGCATGCTGAGGAACTCTCTTGTGCTCGTCATGTTGGTTCCCTATGATGGCTGCAACATGGTTCAAGAGGTAATGCTGTTTGATGCCAGTAGTTCTGCCAGAATGGTGCAGGAAGTTGACTATTGGTGGCTAATCCAGGCATTTAAAAAAATATATAATTTATTTTTTTTGTCTTTAAATTTAAATGGTGTCTGTGTATATACTGGTTTGGATTGGGCAACTATTTTCTGATTTTGACTAAATTAATTGACAGCAAATATAGGCTTGTAGAGTCATCAACAATGAAAATGTGTTTACTGTGAAAGTGTAACCTGAACTAGTTTGTTACCTTGGGTTCTGATTTTTGTTTTCTTCTCCAAGGGTGGAAGTTATGTGCTCCCAATGCATTGGCAGGGAATTCCAGTCTCACTCTGGTGTCGTGCCCCTGCTACTGCTGCCCCACAACCTCAGCATCCCTGGTACCCTCCATCATACCCTGTGGCGCCCCCCCAGGTGGTGCCCCAGTTGCCGCCCCAGCAGATGCAGGCGCTGCCCCAGAAGGTGCCGCTGGTGCTCCAGTCGCCGCCCCGGCATGTGCCGCATGTGCCGCTGGTGCTCCAGTCGCCGCCCCGGCATGTGCCGCTGGTGCCCCAGTTGCCGAATAACCAACATTATTCACTTCCTGTAATTCCTGAATCTTATTACTTTCCACCCTATGCTCATTATCCATTGGTACCAGAGGCTGCTGCAAAGAAACCACAAATGCCTAAACTTCCACTATACCCCCCTTTCTTCCATCCTTATTATTATTTTCCTCATCCTGTTCCAGCTGCACCAACTGCCACTGCAAAGCCAGCAGCCACAGCTCCTCCCTCAATGTTGCCTTACCCTTTCTACCATTCCTTTCCTTGGCACGGCTCTTGGCCTCTGCAAGCGACTGCAAAACCAGCTACAACCACTGCTAAACCTCAGCCACAGCATATTCCATACATGTCATTTCCTCCTCAATATCCTTTTCTGCCTCCCTATTTCCAATATCCATCTCAGAAGTGACAAGCCAAAAAGACCAACTCTCAGCCACCGCAGTTTGCATATGTGCCGTTTCCTTCTCCATATCACCCTTTTTCCTCTCAAATTCTGCCACACTATCTCTCTCCAATGACATCAACCACAAGGAAAACTGATCCCTCACCACCACAACAATTTCAATCACATCCTCAAGAACCCTTTCAATTTGTTGTTATCCCCCTAATTCTGGCTAGTCTGCCCAAACTGTTCCAATAAATATTTTAAATAACAAAGTGACCCTGTTATGTTCATTTGTACTGTTGACCCTACTACTACCCCTGAGTAGATGGACTATGTTACACTTGCTTTAAGGAGTTCCTTTAGGTTTGTGAGGATGAAGTGAACAATCCATAACGATGAAGGGCTTTACTTTTGACGAAATTGAGCATTTTGATTATTTGTTGACGGTGTCCTACAAATGTACACTATTTTATTGTCATCTTTAACAGATTAACTACTTAAGAAGATTCATGTTAACCAAACATCAGTGAGGGTAAAGTGTGACATAACACAGGATCATTTTTACATGTCCCCTTTTTTAATTTAACTGAACTCTACATCAAAGCAGTGAAGTGTAGAAAGTCTGTAGCTGAAGGTGGTTCAGTATGTTGAGTGCTGTGGTGCTGGAGCTTCCTTACATCTCATTGGTTGTGTGGTCTGGTTGTCCACTCTGTGGCTCCAGGAAGGCCAAAGACCCGGGAAGAGGTCTGCCCTGTGATATCAACAAGTCAGGAATGTGGATCCTTCTCTTGGTCTGCTGTCCGTGTCTCCAAGACTTCAGTTGATGTTGGCCTATAGACTTAATTCATGTCTGACTTAATCTGTAGCGTCACAAGTTAT